CACAGCTTCCGTTGACTTCATTTGCAGCTGAGTGCGCTCCGCACATCTGTCCCCTCCATCTCCATACCTACGCAGCATTGCAACCATGTGAGCCAGGTTGCTACGCCTGGAGTGAGGAGCTGGGCCCACAGATGCCACTGCTGTGATGGCCGCAGATTTTATTAAAATTCACAATTATTGTGAACACCCTGACCTCTGTGCCAAAACCATAGCCTTAATCATAATACACAGAGAGGGGCCGAATTAAAATCGCACAAACGGCCTTAATTCTGGCATTGCCTAACTTTTGAGTGCTTGAATTTGCAACGTCAATGTTCGTTTGACATAGGTGTTTTGTGTGTGTGAAATTTTCTAGGTTTTTAAAAAAGCAAACGTAAAAAAAAAATACCATCATGTGGCACCATACGACACTCACAGGGGTCATCAGCAGGAGGGAATCCTTAGATCCACCACACAGACTTCTGGCACCTGAGCTAATGGATTAGCTGGTAGCTGTAGTAGGTTGTCATTGTCTATATGGACCAGCACTATAGCCACACTCTTTGCCAGTGGGCTTCACAGATATTTGCCAAGAGCAGAGAAATCTTGGGTTCCAGTCTATGTTCTGAAGGGAGTATGGCCTAGAGGTCACAGCACCTTCTGCCTAGTTCCCCACAAGCCTGACCCCTTCTGTTCCTATCCCAGTCATGTCTCTTTCCCCTGTCACCTCATCCCAGTCTTCCCCTACTCCTGTTTCCTCTGACCTCAGCTCCCAGTTTCCTTGCCTTGCCAATCCATCTTCCCCTCACACCTGCATCTGCTCCTAAGCCTGGTTTTCTCCCAACCCCTGTCTACGCCCAGGTCCAGGCTACCCCCATCATCTCCCAGTCTTAGTCTCCCCTCCCACAGGCTCGTCTGTCTACTCCTCCACCATCTTCTCCATCTGGCTCTTGTTCCTTCCTCACTGCAATCAGACAGCATCCTCTTCCCTGCTGCCTGGGTCCTAGCAGGGGCAGCACTGCGGTTACAGGAGAGACAGTCTCCTGCCTCTTAGTTTCGGTGTTCAGCATCACACAGACCACAGCAGCTGAGAGCAGCAAATGCAGCAAAAAGCCTGCTCAGCCCTGTATCCCCAAGATAGAGAATGCGCAATGTATATGGAATTGTGAGAATTTAGCAGCCAAACTAACAAGTCTCTATTGAGCATGTGTGAATTGCAATTTTGCAAAGGCTTATAACTTGGCCAAATTTAGGTGGTTTCTCCTGGGGCCAGCAAAAGGCACATGCTTGAAACAAAGCCAGTCCTCCTGTCAAATTCAATGTATGGAGGCACTCGAGTCGCTTAACATATAATAAAATAAGAATTTTTTTAACCTGGCCCAAACAATGTATTTTTCCCTGCTAGCAGTCTCAGAAATAGCGGATATTTTTTTGGCAAAAATGTCCGCAAAAAATTTAGCTTGAGGCAGATGCCCAACATGGAAAATCAGTTTGAATGGTTAAAATCTGGGGAAGTCATAAGCGACTGAAAACAGGGCTTTACGGTGGGAAGGGTGGGCAAGCTTAGCTATATGTAGCACTATCAGCTTGGCCTAACTCAGAGGTTATGGATTAAATTCCAAGGTGGTGTGTTAATGGCTACGTAGCCTGCCACTTCATAGGAACTGATACTGCAAACTCCAATAATTCCGGAAAGAGCTATATTTAAGGAGAGAGCATTTAATGTTATTTATTGCTGACTTCCCACTTTTCAGTTCAGTTTTGGGCCTAAAAATGAATAAACATTAGTTGAATAAAATTTCCCAACCAAGGTACAAAATATTTGGCAATTATTTCAAAACATACTGTGCTGTTAAAATGTCATGGTTAAATTATAAATTGCAGCAAATGGCTAGTATCCTCCAGTTATTTCAACAGTGCAGAAGATTGTAATTATTCACCTGTTAAAGTAAATGTGGCTGTAACACGTTTGAACACAGCTGAAAAGGGAGGAGGGGAGGAGGCTATGTAGGCAGATGTTGTCTCAGTGTATCATCTGTGTGAGAGGCATTTGCAGCTCTTTGGGTGGAATACTCTATAAAGGGAAAAAACCCATCGTCTAAAGCAAAGTATAGTTCCTGGAGTGGAAACTTTACTATGCTTTCCCCTTGACAGAGTTTTCCTAGTTATGGTACCAAAGTAGAAACTGTTCGACGAGACCTTTTCTTCAATAGATTTAAAATTTATTTAATGTGAGATGGGATGTTAACTAGCGAGCTCCTCTTCTACAAGCAATATCCAGCATGGTACTTTTACCCAGAGTTATTTTCTAAGCATCTCCTGAGCAATTAGGAGTTATAACGTCTTTTGTCTCTGATCAAGAAGCTGGGCAAGTGACTCTGTGGAGGCCTTGGTGCCGCTCCATGCTTCATTCCATGACGTTTCACCCTGGGGCATTGCAGGGGCGAATCCGGCCCACTGAGTGCAACAGTCAATGCTCCGTTCATCATTTTGTTGAGAGTGCGGCAATGTGGATCCAGATTTCACGTCGCCTAAACTTCAGGGCTGTTCGGACCTGGGCTTTTCATTTGGGCCATTTTAGAGCGAGGAGAGGGGCAGGCTGAGGGCCTGGCTAGACGGGTTCACATGGTCTCCCACGCCAACCCTGCAGAAAATGCTTTTTGTACAGGGGAGCCATCTGCTGGCTGAGGCATCCCTGACAGCTCAGTTCTGTTGGTGCTGTCCCGTCAGGAAGCTGGGGCAGAGTTGCAGAAGTCCCCAGAGCAAGGCCAGAGCATAGGAACCCCATGTGGAGTGTCCTTTTCCTGACTCATCTATGGGACGTGGGGGGTCAACCACCACCCCAAAGGGAAAAATTGGGAGGCAGCTCCATGAGAGAACCCCAGGTGCTAGCTCTCTCCCTTACCATTGTCCTCCCTCCAGCATATATCAGGGATTTGCCCTAGCCCTGAGCCAAGAGTGCAGGTTTTGATCTGATGGCATGCAGTTCATTTAGCCACAAGGATGCACTGTGTGAGAGACAGGCTATGCCTGAGCCCGTCCTGTCAAACTAAGAGTAGTTCCAGTTTGAGCTGATTTAGAGAGAGAAAATTGAGCTGACAGCTAATGGTGCTACTGGGGAAACACCTCATTCAGCGTGCTAATAGACTGCCTCTGTGTACGTTATATCTGGTTTTACTGGCATGGGGTCCCTAGCTGCGTGGGAGGGGAAAGGTGAGAGTGGATGGGAGCTGCGCTACACACCCACAACTTTAAAAACAAACAGCCTGTCTGCACGACCCTAAACATTAATGTGAGACACGTTAAATCATGAACCTTTGTTTAAAACATCTGGGGGCTCTGCCATGCAATGGTGAGGGGGAACTCAGCTCATGAAAATCAGGTTGTGGGCAAACTGAAGGTAGAATGTGCTTTAAAGTGGTAATGAAGTTCCTGCTGTTTAACAGAAAGTTTTACGATAAGATCATATTCGTTAAGAAAACAGGTATCAAAAGTGCTGTAATTCATTTAGCTGAGCTAGAGCCCTTGACTGAGAGCTGGTGTCTGGGACGAGCTAGAGAAAGGTGTTGCTCAACATGTAATTCAGCATAGAAACAACAAGCCAGATCCTCATCTTCAATGCCATTGACGTCAGTGTAGCTTCACCAGTCTGCACCACCAAATGATCTGGCCCAATGGATCTGATGTGCCACTGCATTGCACCGTGTGTGTGCATTCACAGCCGTGCAACGTGACAGTCCAAGGGGTAGTAATGCGGACAAATCAAAACAGTAGCACTTTGCACCCACTTTGTGAATTAAAAACATTGTGACAGCTGTTAATGACTTCCTATGTTGGAAATGACTTCCGATAGCTAGGAACATTTCTGAGGTTATCAAAATGGCTTTTCAGAAATAAGTGATTGAGTTCCAGTGACATGTGATACGGTGCATAAGCAAATGTGTTCATTTATTACTTCTATTATTTTGTAATCACTACTGTGATATTGTGTATAATTGGAAAGATGTAATATGTACCTGCTCTCTGAAAAATGGCTAATGCTGAAATATTGAATAATGCATAATGTCTTGGTGGAAATGCCAGATTATTGTAAACTTATTTCATTTTCTGAATGCATTGGGCCTGATTCTCCATTGCCCTGCATCTTGTGTAGTCATCTCCACCTTTGCAAAATGGGTGTAAAACTCCACTGGTCTGATCTGTTACCACTTACTTTAACTTTGCACAGAAAGTAGTTTACACATGTAGCGTGTCACTAACATCAGTCACTCTGCTTTTACGTCACATCTTTGAATCTTGGTGTATATGTAAAGTACTGGGCTCCTTCTAGCACGATTGACTCGAGTTGATGTCTATTTTCAGACATCAACTGAATGGAAACTGTGTGTTTAAGATAAATGGAAGATTTCAGGATCTCATAAAGTGATCAGTGTTTCCAGGAGACTATTAATGACCTTGGGGCAATCCAGGATTGAAGTGCAAAGGCAGAGCTATGAGGGTTAGGAATGCATTAGCTAGACAAACTCTAATTTGCTTTGATAATGTCATTTTAGATTTCTAAATAAAATACGTCCATTGCATAGCATCTGGGAACATTTGCAGTTTAAAAAAAAAAATCACTTAGCAGAACCGTCATCTACTAATGATACCTGTTGTGTTCTTATTCCACAGGAAGTGTGTCCGATATATAAATAAGCATGTAAAAGGTCACTGATGGAAAGTTAAAACATTCACGCAGGTTTCATTGTCTAATATGGAGCAACTGTAGATCTCACAGACAGAGATGGATCAAACAATGCCCCCCCCCCTCCTCCAAGTCCTAATACTGTACAATTCTGGGGATTCAAATCTAGCTTGCTGATCTGGGTCCAAATTTTGCATTTCTAAATATAGGCTACATCGACTAATTCATTGCTAAGGAAAGGAGCTTATCAAATGAACTAATTCCAGCATTACAGAGCAACTGCATACTAAACCTGACAATAGACATGACTAATAAATACATGTTGATTCTTTCACAGATATAAGGGTTATGTTTATACCTACAGAGTGTCCAAGACAGATACAGGTTCCTGGAGTGCCGAGGTATGTATTGCTCCTTCTCTTCTAAAAGTTCCCACAATTGAGTGTAGGTATTGATTTCAAGAAATAGATCCGGATTATTCACCTTTCTGCAATATCTGAGTCTCATGTAATTTAATCAGTCTCAAGTGAGCCCATCACTGGTGCCAGGTCTGACCATTTTGAATGCACAAATTCATTCTGTTACAGTTCAGCGGTTACAGAATTCACCAGTGCGCTATTTTGCAGCATTTTAAATGGCAGAAATATTGTGTTTTCATATTTTGACAGGCACAGTCAATATTAATTTCTCCTCTGCCAAACATGCCATTAATACCAGAATATTCAAAGCAATTCCCTGTGATTTACAATGTTTTTAACTTAATTTCTTGACAGATTGTATTTATCCATAGCACAAGGCACATATATGATAGCTGAGATTTGATATGACATTTATCTTCACTTGTGTTGTGAGGAAACTCTGGACTGGTGTAGCAGTAGGTGCAATAATAACAGTGATTTAAGTTCATGGCATAATTTAGGTTCACGTGAATACTAATCCTTATTTATTTTCGGAAGTTCTTGTTCTTTGGATGTAGGCAGCATATTAATTCATAATTAGCTTTCAGTTTGCACATTAATGAACATTGATTTACAAACATTAAAATATAACTTAACGGGCTTAATTCTGCTGGCAAAATTAGAGCAGAATATGTTGCACTGTACTGGAAACACCTGGACCAGATTCTGATGTCAGTTAGGATCGAACCCTGGAGCTGAATGTGCTTCACACCCATTCCTGTTTAAAAAAAAAAAGTCTCTCTCATCACTGCAAAGAGCTAAAAAGAGCCCCATGTTCCATCTGTCTTTAACTACAGGGTCTTGACTCTGCATTCTTGCATTGGCTTAAGTGGGCGTTTTGCTTGTGGTGGGGCGTAGGGGAAGGCCCTAGTATTGGACCTGAAATACAGCGCGTGAGCAAATAGCTATTTGTTCCAAAACAGGGAGACTTGCTAAGCCCCAAATCTGAGGCTGTAAGAGAAAATTCAATAAGCCAGATTTTGGCCTGATTTACCTCATGTACAAATCCACTCGCCTCGGGGGGGATGGGATCTATGCCAAGGCAGAATTTACCTCATTCTGGGAAACTGGTACTTTCATAAGCTGTTGGAGCTCATGGGTGAAAGAACAGAAATTGCTGAGGGACGTGGTGGCGCAGTGCACGCTGCAGTAGGATGGACAGCACCAATACATTTTTGGCAGGGTCAGGCTGGAGCACAGGCAAAGCAAAGCCTTCATTTGAAGACGGGATTAAGCAATTCACTGGCTAACTTCATCTCTCTGTGGTAGTAGAAAGGGAGACATCAAGGCAGCACCAGAGAGCACGCTCCTCCAGCAGCAGCAGTGAGGAAGAAAGCTCATGGTGTTAGATCCTCCTCTCTGGCAACTGGAGATCCTCGGGGGGCCCCTCACATCATTAGGGAAATGGGTGCTAAGTAGACGTGGCAGGCTAAACTTTGCCCTCAGTCACAGCTCACCAAATTTGTCTTACTCACAACAGCATTTGCCCCTCCCCTCCTATCAGCTGCCTCCCTTCTCCTCTCTCTTGCTGAGGTTGGTTTATTTTTGAAAGAACCAAGCGCAAAGCTTCACAAGAGACAATTTGAAAATACTGATGCTGAACCCCCACGAAGTCAGTAGCAAACCTCCCATTATGTTCAGTGGAGCAAGGATTTCGCTCTGGTTTATAGGAACAGGATTACGCTTGCTGGTGCTGAGTACCTTTCTGTGCTGCCCTGTCCTTCCACCCCACCTCCATGGGAGTATAAGGGGCGAGTACCACAGCTGCTTTCCCCCAAGAGGCTGGGTGAGGAGAGTCTTCAGGCCCAGCCAAGGTGGCAGAAGGGATGTTGCTTTAGATGTCTAGTAAAGGCCCTTGAAGATAGAGATACACAGTGATGGGCATCTGCAAAGCTTAATTGAGAAGGATAGACAAAGTGATTTCAATAAAACTAGGTAACAGTTTACAGAGCCCCTTGGTACAAAGAAATGAGAGATGTGACTAGTTAACAGGTGCAAACGGGAACCAAACACTCCATAAAACTTTTATAAGCAGGCTGGATCCATGTTAATATTTACAGTAACAGGAACATCATCATGGGCGCTAGGTCTTCCTCTGGAGCACCTTACCCGTGAGCTGGAACCATAGATTGGCATGCTCTGTCAATGACTTAATGAACATCATGGTATGCTGACTGCCCATGGTGATGCTTTTAAGAGCCTGGGAAACTAGATTAATGAGCTGTAGACTAAAAGCGGATCACTAGCAGGACTCAGAGGTGGCCGACGAGAGGGCTGATGTGCGCTCTCAGCGTGATGAAACTTCTCCCAGTAGCACTGGCGCGTTGTCTGTGTAAGTGGGATTGCTGCTGAAGACACGAAAGAGGCGTATATTTTTCCTGACCCCCAGGTGGTGCTCGCATTACAGCAGGAGGTCAATTTTCTTCATGGTCTTTTGCTTGGTAAAGTGAGCAAATTTGACAAGGAAGTCATTGACAGAGGATAAATGTGGAATTCCCCACACAGTATTGTTTTAGAGTCATTGTCCTGACTGTAGCAATACTTCAATGGCAGCTGTGTTCTTATCTTGAGTGTAGAACAGACCCCTCCCCCCCCCAAACTCTCCCCCTTTCTCTACCACCACATCACCAATTGCAGGAACCATCAGAAGAGAGCCTGATGGTGCTGCAGTCGCTTCACTTTCACAGTGTGAAACCAGGATCACAATGACCTTGCTAGACTGAGGGCTACACTTACTTGCTGTCCTTGTCTCATGTCATCGTAGTTAGCCATTTCCTTTCATTCTTCCTGTACAATATAACTCCTCACAGCTGTATCAGGAATCACTATGATACTCCCAGGATTTTTTAAAAATCAACATTTCTTAGTCTGTTCCTGCAGTTTTTCATTCAGCAAAATTTTAATTGACATCAGTGGGCGATTTGCCCAATAAGCACTGCAGGATCTCATCTGTATTGACTGCCAAGGCTTTAGTCTTCAGGACGGTTATTAACAGATAGCTCTGTCTAACTGCAGTGGCCAGTTTAGTGAACATATTGGGTCGTCTCACTGTATACCCACTGACGTGACTGGAGGTACGTTAGGGATGCATCCGATCTGCATGGCTGCTCTGTGAGAGTGTGGCAGTAGTAGAACCAGTGGGGGTGCAGTGTGGAGAACAAGCGGTGCTAGTACCAAAACACACATTTCAACTGGCTGGCTATGCTCCTGGGAAAGGGAGAGGAGAGAGGACAGCTCCAACAAATCTAAGGTGGCGCTGGGAATGGACTTCACTTCTTGCTGAGGTTTTTACATGTGTGAAAATAATGCTGTTCTATAACACCTCCCGGGCAGCTAGGTAGAGGTGTTCCCCTGTAGCTTGTTGTTTGGGTAATTTGTTGGTCTCTCACTTTACAGACTGCACCTGGGGTCCACAGAAGATTGTTCCGGAAAGTACACAACCTAATTACAGCATTCCAGAAGCCAGAACAAGGCATTATAACTCCTCTGCAGCATCCTGTAGTGAATGCTGCGAAAGCCAAGCACCCACAAGGTACTGCGAGGAGCACTTGGAAGCAGAATGGCATGGGCCTGTGGAGTTTCCCATCACATGTGCTAAGGGGCAAGATTCATTCTCTGGCCGTCCCCAACCCATGAGGCATGCATGATATAAAAGGCAGTGGAACTAGTTCAGTGCCACTAAGCAGCAAGGGACAGGTAGTCTGTGCCACATGCACACTGCAACGCTATATCCATGATAGCAGAAAAGGGTCTGGCAAGGGTGAGGCTCTATTGACCTGCTTCCCTTAAAAGATTGTGAGGAGTTGAAGCAACAGCTGCACAATGGCTGTGCTGGTATGCTCCAGCTTGGAGGCGAGCTTCTGTTCCCTCCATCCTGAACACCCCAGGCCTTTGGGCAGAGAGAATGCAGGCTTGTTTGCTTCTATTAACCCATGGCAGTCACTACAACCGCATGTGTACACCTCCTAAAGTCTGAAAAATTGGCATCTTCCTAGCACCTAGTCTAGATTGTGGGGTTTGGATGGATGCCTTGTGGTGCTTGCTAGGGAATTTATATCCAACTGCAGCGTTGTATGTGAATATATTTCTTTTACAGCATGCTGGTTGCATCAGTGGTAGACAAAATGTAGTTAACCCCTATGCCTCCTACAAAGACTATGAGCTTTTGCCTTCTTGCAGAGTTCATATTGTTATATGTTTGTTGTTGTTTTTTTTTGTAGGAAAAAAGGACGATCATGACTTTTATTTGCATCCTTCATGAAGACACGTCCCAGAGTTTGAAGTAATTTAAATAGGCTTTTATATGTCATTTTTACACAAAATGCTGTAGATTATAGACATTACAACTCTATGAGTTTTCCTGTAATATTTTCAGAAATGTATGTTTAATGCAACTTCTAGTCTGCCGTTTAAAAGATTGGCATGAATCTGTATTTTTTTTATAAAGATGTGGGAGAAAAAATAACTAGCAATTGGATGACTTAATACTTTCATTTTCTGTTGGTGCTTGGCAGGGCCGGCTCTAGGCACCAGTAAAACAAGCTGGTGCTTGGGGCGGCACATTTTTAGGGGCGGCATTCTGGCGCAGGCCATGCCGCCCCTAAAAATGTGCCCCGGCCGCCCTAACTCACCTCCGCTGCTACCGCTCCCACGCCACTGCGCGCCCTCCCTCCCAGGTCTGAGAGCCTGGGAGGGAGGGGGAGACCCAAGGCAGCCGCGGCGCCTGAATCAGCTGTTTCGTGCGCCGCGGCCGCTCGGGATCTCCCCCTCCCTCCCAGGCTCTCAGACC